AGAACCCTACCTGTTGTTCAATAAGCATTTCCCGGAATTGAGCCATGCGAACATCAAGGGGCAGGATGGCGCGCTCCTTTGCCGCCCTTTCTTCCGCTTCTTTTGCTGCCTCCAGACTATCCAGAGGAGTTATGTTAGGAACCAGTTGCGCTTGTTTTTCTGTCCCACTAGGCCCCAACACCTGCGCATCCGCATCAACTTCAGGAGTGGGAACAGAACTAAAGAACAAGAACAGGAGTCAAACTTATTTGAACTCATAGTGTAGTGTATAGAATAGTTGCTTACAGTCTAGGTCTTTTAGAAACAAGTTCATCTGGACTAGCATCGCCACTTGGATTCATAGACTTGTTGTTACGCTTTGTGGCCTCAGATAACTCAGTATCTGATGTTTCACCACCCCGAGAAATAACTCCATCAGATCCCTCTTCGACAAGTGAGGCATCACTTCCTGAATGAGAACCGAGACTAGCCTGAGGAGGTTTTTCCAAAAGGCGATCCACATCTGATCTGCCCTTAAGTTCATCTGGCGTCTCCCAAACCGAAAGGCGCTGACTAGGATTGTAAAAGAAAACGCGTCCATCTCCGGTCCACACAACACACCAAGGCGTACCACTGACAGCAGTGCTAGACACAGGACGACTAGGGTCCTTCGTTGGAATGGTTGATTTATCCTCTACTTGTTCTGCAACTCCATCACTATCTTCATCTTCATCTGCTTCGACCTGGGGATTTGACCTTACAAACTCGCCATCGACATGTTTCGGGGGGTCCATCGAAACGGATGTAGGACGATCAACCAGAGCGTCCTACAAGAAAAAAACAATTAGTAAGCAAGCCGAAATAAGATAAGAGCAAGAGTTTATATTAACCGTTGGTTCTTTGAGAGCAGATGTCTCCACTGGGGGCGGGGCAGTGAAATTTGTAAGGGATGCGGGAGGCGGCATAGCCTGTTTGTTGAAACCGGCAATGAAAGCTTAAATAAGGAAAAAATGGTAAAAATCACTATTTTCGAAGAATTAAAATTTGGCTTTACGGAAAGGCAATTATTACCTTCCCAATCCAGAAGAATCTTGGGCTTTTCCCAGGTAGTTTCATTAGTTTTGGCATTATGGTAATATGGCTTTCCATCAGAATTCTTATATTCTGTCCAAGCAACGACTTCAGGAGGTTTTTGTTGAACTTGATCAACAGGCACTTGAGTGGCCACTGGCGGTTGTTGCATTGGTGATGTGTTGGTGATGAAAGAAGAGGCAAGTGATTCGGGTTGAAATTGCTGAAGCCCGTTCGCAGTCAAATTAGCTTGAATAGGCGAGGCATGCGGAGCAGAACTTTGTGTGATTCGCATACTTGGGCCTAATTTATTTCCCGTTTCCACCTCACCCTGCCGAAGAATCGTGACCCCTTCAGGCTTTTCCCATCGCGTTTCTCGAGTTCGCATGTTGTAATAGTATGATTTCCCATCACCAGCAACATTTTCGACCCAAATGTCCTCTTCATTTCGAGAGCTCATGCTGAGGGGTCTTGGTGGAACAGGGCCTGGACCGATAGTTGGAGGGGTGGCGAACAGAGGACGACGTGGAACAAGAGGCGGTTGGAGTCTAGGATTCTGCGGAATATGCAAAGGTGGATGAGGTGGAAGTCCTGGGTGCATCATCACACCCAGATGATGAGTACCCGAATGCCCGTTCGTAGGAATCGGTAGAGGAGGCATCATAAAGGGCGATCTGACTGGGCCTATAAAAAGCGTGTTAGACAGAGCAAAATTAAAGAAGAGCTATATACATGATACATACCAGGAACCGGAGGCATGGAAACAGCTCCTACGGGAGGAGGAACTGCACCGACAGAAGGCAAAGCTTGAGAGGGAATGCCTGCTGTACCAATTTGTAGCGGTGCCGAAGTTGGAGAAAGGAACGATGGTGCAGGGTTTTGAGTATCAGTAAGCAAAGGGGCAGAAACAGGTGGGTTCGAATTGACCATGGGATTACTGTTGGTAGTTAAGCCTCCGGCAGAAACTCCAGGTACGGGAGCAAGATTGGGAGAATGGAGAATCATATTTGGCGGAGGATGATTATATAATCCATGGGGTGGACCACCCATTGGCATCGGAGGTGCTGGTCCTGGAGGCATATAGGGTGGAGGAGGCATTCCAAAGTTGGGAGTGGCACCTATAATAAAGAGGCAATGCATTTTGATGGTAAAATTAAAGCAAATGTGAGATAAATCAACCAGGCGCTACCTTCGCTTGATCTGCTTTGCGGACCCGGAAAGGGATACGGGGGAGGAGGTCCAAGAGAATTTGG